TATATTTTCAAATCGGTCTAGCTCACTTAAATGTTAATATTTTGCAGAAATATTTTGGCAAAAGTTTTAAAATATAAGGGAAATAAATACACAAACTTATGAAATCTAGTAAAGATATCGCAAAAATCAATAGTGCGGGGCACATAAAGGAAAACTTCAGAAGCTGATATCCGCTGAGCTATTCAGTCTAAAGCGGTCAAATCTACCATCCACAAACAGATTCCCTCTTTTTAGTGTGGCGAGATATGTAGAATGCGATGTTTGTTAGTCAACAAATGTCGAGGTTTTTCGATTTCCTACTAAGCTGAAGGCATTATTGGTTAGTAAGTTTTTGACGTATCCTAGGTTGACAAAGTCCTTCACGGCTCCAAAATTGTGTTGCTAAAATTTACTTTGGCTTGTCTTCTTTTACCGCCAGACTCTTTTATATCTTTCTTTTGGCTACGCATATGGCCCTGGTGTTGAGTACGACGTTGCCAATATAATCTTTAATATCGGTACTAGTTCCTCTTCGATTTCTTTGCTTAATTACAGTTCTGACTCAAACCATTCTAAACTTAAACTTATGGAATTTTCTTCAATCACTGTACTGCAACCCATAACTGCGTCACTGTTAATCCTACTATCATCAAAGTTGCAACGACGACGTTTGCTCTCTTTAGGAGTGTGTGTTTCACATAAAAAGAGCAAGCAATATGCACTCGGGATATTAAAATGTCACCCCGCGGTGCAACGCAACAAGACATTATAAATAAATCCCTACACCATGCATTACTATACATCATCATATCTACTGCAATAGAGTTGAAGGCTTACACTGAGCCAAAAGCGATGTGGCTTTCTTTCAACCAAGTTATTGTTTCCTTTTCTTCAGGGTAAATACACCGGTTTTAAGAAATTGGATTCAATTTGAACATTTTGAAAACACGTTGGTATATCTGGCTGTAGCTGAGAGTGCAGAACTGCTTGCTGTTAGTTGCCAACTTTCAGAAGATCAAAGTTCAAAAACCGTTAGAGGCAACATGTTAAAATGATAACAAAAACTTGTTTTTTGTCTCCGAACTATAAAAAGCATCTGTGAAGTGCAGAATATACATAAGTGGATTCAAACGAAAACAACGGCAAACAAAAATGTGTTTAATGTAAACACAAGTGTGGTTAATATCCCCAAATCATTGTTAAGCATAAATATCAACAATAGCATTGATATTATTTAACAAAAATCACTTTGATTCCTTTTCAAGTTTGGTTTTGGTAATATTAAACCATTTGTTGTTGACTTATTTATCAGTGTAATAAATTTTTTTCTTTCATTACATTTGTGATATTTCTTATTTGGTTTTCTTTACGTAATTTCCCATGTAGGTAATCTTTTGTGGCATGACGGATATGATATGACTAGAGTACATGCATTTTTATGTGATTCTTTATGTACTTTACATATGGTTGTACACTAGACTGGTTCGCGAAAAAAGGTTTGTAATTGCCCTCTGATTTGAAAGCATTTTGGTGTCATGAACATATTCATTCTTAGCGGGCGCCGTAAAAAGGCCTAAATCCAAGTTTCTTGCTAACTTGTTTAATTATGACTCGAATTCAGTTTGCGATTACTTGCCGCGGTCAGCCTTAATTACGCACATGCCATGGCAAAAAAGTTTTTTCTAATACCGGTCGCCCCTCGGCAGGCAATGGCAAACCTTCCAATGTATTTGTGCCATGAAAAACAGCTTCTCATAAAAATAAAATCGCTGTTCGGAGTCGGCGTAAAACTGTAGGTCGCTCATACTAAAATTGCTTTTTAAGTTTTATAACTTTAAATTTATGCAAGAGTTTTTTGCACTGCCATATTACAAAGTTTTAGAAGTGCGTTTAAATGCAATTTTACATCCAGTGGAAAATCTCCGAATCTAGCTAACTGATAGCCATGCTTCGAAAAACCTCAATAAGCATTTAGGTTTAAGCTCAACATGAGGTTGGATTGAAAACTAAGGTATTTCTTAAATCTTTCTTTTATATGAAAATAGGACTGTTTCTCAAGTTGACAAAAATTCAGTTCTCAACTTGAACTCCAATCTAATCCTTGAATCGGAATTCAAAATACTAAAATAATTTCTATCTTTTCAATTGAAACGACATAGACAGATTTAAAAAATTTCCTTTTTCACTCCGTTTGTAACAGTTAAAAAAATATCCTGTTACAACAATTCACTTTAAGATTAAGAGATTTTAATGTTTCGCTTTTTTAATTTACAGTTTGTATTGTTTATAAAATTAGTTATTTGTATTTTATTTTACAGTATTTTTTATGCATACGGGGCGCACAAGGCGTGTTAAGCAGGGACCGTAACAGTTACAACTTTATTGAGAAAATCGCTCTTTAACAATTGTTTTTTTACTTTTTTATTTAATTACTCCTTAAATAACCGTTATTTTTCACTTTTATTTTATCAATCCAGAATAACAATTATTTTTGACTTTTATCTAAATAATTGCAAATAACAGTTATTTTTGATTTTTTAATTATATCTCTCAGATAACAGCTATCGAAGACTTTTATTTAAAAAATTCGTAAATAAAAATCAGTCACTGATCTTTATTTTTTAAATCATACTTATAAAAGTCATTTGTATACGTGGTAGTAAATTTTTGTTTCCCCAACATTTTTTTAACTGCAAAATATGGCAATGACTTTTACACGAATGATTTAAGAAATAAAAAGAGTAAAAGTAAAAGTCACTGACTGATTTTTATTGATGACTTTTAGAGATAAAAGTCTTCAATAACTGTTATCTAAGACATATAACAAAAATAATTGTTATTATGGATTTATAATATAAAAATCAAAAATAATGGTTATTTTTTAATTTTGCATAAAAGTTCCAAATAAGAATTTATTTTCAAATGTGAATCTTGGTGAAAAAAGAAATCGATTGGTATGTATCGCTTAGATGTAGAACATTTCCTTCATAGTGGATTTTTCCATGACAGTTTTCATCAATAGGTGTTATGTTCGGTCCCTGGTTTTAAGCATCGTAATATCTTAAGTTTTATAAGATGGTTATAGACGAATTTTAAATATGTTACGATGATTAATACTCCTCGTTTGTTTCCTAATACTTTTTCATTAAATTTTGTTTAAAATTTAGTTTCCCTTTCACTTTTTATGTATGTATCTACGCCTCTAGTATCCTTTCGAATGCCTATGCTTGGCCACCATTGCCACTTGCATATTTTTGTATGTTAAAACCAGTGTTGCCATGTTGGCAAATTTCTTTTCTTAAATTCAACACAACTTGCAGTCCAAGCATAGAACTGGGTTGGAGAATGATGTTGCATATCAACTTGAGAACTATTTACGAATTTCTTCAAGGCTGAAGATGAATTGGGTAAATGATGTTGGGTATGAAAAATTGGGTTGGTGCTCGTTGGGAAATTGTTGATGTGGATGTTTTCTGCCGCCTTATGTTAACGCCAAAGTGTCATATATAAAAGGCAGCAACGCTACGTCATATATACAAATAACAGCAACAATGTGCATAGGTTTGTGTGTGTGAAATACGGAATTGACAGTTTAGTCGTTCTCTTTTGTAAACTTAACTTCCTAACGCCCTGTCAAAATCGGATTTTTCAACCGCTCCGAGTTTTTACCGCGTTATTTCGGTATACTTCATTAAAATTGTATGGGCATGAGAAAATTAATATGGGTCATCTTTTTTAGAGCAATAGAAACCAGATCAACAATTTTTAAATTTTTTGTCTGTCTGTATGTTTGTACGCCCATTACACAGATGTATTTTTAGAGGTTTAACTTAAATTATAGACAAAAAAAAAAATTAGAGTTGCCACCTGTTTGAAAATTTCAGTTTAAATAAATTTATAAGATAAAGGAAATATTGGAATATGACTGTCCAAAGAAAGATGTTTAAGAAGACGCCCCGCGGAAAGTATTGTTGTTGTAGGTTGCCATATTTATGAAACTTTTAATTTAATTTACTTGACAAGATAATTTAAATTTTGCAGTGTTGGTACAAACTAGAGAGGTTTAGGCAAGTTTGCTACCAAATATATTTTTTGGGAAGGTTACGAGCTGTCTTAAAAATTGTATTCAATTATATTGATAAAATAAAGGAAATATTAAAATGCGGGTATCAAACTAAAGATGTTTTAGAAATTTTACTCCCGAAACATCCTTATTTAATCAACTTTTGTTTCTTTTTTCTCTAACTTCTCAAGAGTCATATAACAAAGCTTTCTAAAGGAATAAGTCCGGAGTTTTTTACTCTGCATTACTTAAAACCATCCAGAGGTGCTAGGTGATACTTACCATTGGCTACAGTGTCCACTCACCATTTTTTGATCGAACAAATACTTTTTATACAAACAGCAAACAACCTGGTCGCCCCTCCCATTGAGTTCCTCACAAACTCATGGACTTATCTAATAGTTTCTATACATCGCCTACTGGCTTTTCTTCTTTCAGGCTTTCTGTTTTCAGTGTTTTCTTCATAAAATGTGGAGATAAGTTTTTATTTCAAAGGAGTAAGCTATTTCTGTTTGATAGAAGTAGGAAAGTCATTAAAGTAAAACAACACCAGCTATCTCTAAAGTTTTCAAATTTTACCATCAATAAACTTTTTGAGTAGCTCAAGCCAACAAATGAATGGAAAAGAACTCAGTAGCCCACGTAAAAGAATCAAGATTCTGAGCATATCATAAAACTACCTGTATACTTGCCGTCAAAGAATTTCTTGCTTACATTCATAACCTTCCCTTGTTATCCATTACAGATGCTGTCCATTGAAAACCACCCAACGGCAAAGCTTGTCGTCGTCGGCGCAAACAAGAGCCAAGGGACGAAAAATATTCGATATCAATAAACTGGCACATAAAATAAGAAGCTGAGGAAACAGACAGCAAGACCAACAACACCAACTACTTACATATATTACTAAATAGATACGACTAAAAATACCAAAAATACACAAGAACATCAATAGCAATACCAGTAAAACACCATTTCTCCTACTACTAAAATTCAAATACAAGCAAAAAAAAGTCTACTCCGAATTCAATCGATACCATCAGACATCATCAAGAGCACCAATACTACCTCTCCGGCTACGCTAGAGATTTACAACAATATGTTGAGTGATATAATTTCACCGTCAATCGCCACTTGGAGTACAACGCAAAACTTTTACACTGACCTGGATGTTGACATGCCTTTGATGCATGGTGGCGCCACCGACTTGAATGTACCGCTCCTACCAACCTATAATACATACAACACAGCGTATAGTAATGCTACATCGATGTTGTTCGACGTAAACGAAACGAGCGCATATCAAATTGTATTGAATGGCACGAGCGGCAACATTAGCAGCAGCAGCAGCAACAACAACATCTTGCTGGGTGTCGGTGATGAGAGTAGCAATAACAGTGGTTTCATTATATTCAACAGCACTGGCGTTGGCCCAAATGGGAGCAGCAATATTATCGATGTTCTTATAGGTGAACATAATGAGTTTGATGATCAGCAATTGGACGACATCATTGGTGGCGGCGGCGATGGCGGCACAAAGGATCCGACGGTCGCGTTGGTGAAAATGATTGTCATGTCCATTGTGCTGGGCTTGCTCATATTCATAACCATAATAGGTGAGTGTGTACAGCGAGTAAAAGTTTGAGTTAATTATGTTAGTATGTGTTGTTGCATGTTTATGTTGTGGTGAAAATTATTTACGATGATATAGTACATATATTATGAGATATATTTAAAAAGAAGAGCAACAAAGGAATTTGTTCATAAGGTAGTTAAGTACTTGTATCTGTAGAGCTTAAGGATATTTATGTACCATGGGCCCTATCCACCTTTAGCCCTTAAAAATTTGGCGGATCAGGTGAGGTCCAACCTAGTCTACTGCAACAAGGCAGCAATCAAACAGACCTCTCTAAATTTTATACAGCGTCGCTCGTACTATGTGACATTCACAGTATATGGACAGAAGCTGAGACCGAATTTTTATCGAAGGCGGAAAACCCTGTACAATTGCTTTCAACTTACGGACCAATTAGCGTCTGCTTATTTCTCCTAAAAGTCATGGAGGAGGCCACGCTTCTATACCTCACACTAGTTATAACCAAAAAATCGGCTACTTCGCCACTAAACCCAAGCGCTTCAAGACGAACATACCGTCAAGAAGAGAGTGGCAAACACCAAAACCATGGAGAATGTTAGAAATAAATTTTTACACGGATGAATCTAAGCTGGACAACAGGGTTGGCTTCCGAGTTTTTTCTAAAGAATTAGAAATTTTCCGTTCGAATTCCGAACCACTGCAGGGTTTATTAGACAAAAATTCTGGCTATAAAAGAGGTGGCTGATTACTTTAATGTACATTCCGTAACAAAGGCTATGATTAATATCTTCTCGGATAGTCAGGAAAGCCTAGCAGCCCTAAATAATATTAGCACCGTCTCCAAGGTCACCCTCATATGGGTCCCGGGTCATAGAGATATTGCAAGAAATTGCATAGCCGATGAGCTGTTTAGCCAGGAAAGGTACCAATCATCCACTGAGTGAAAAGAGAGGTAAGATCAAGAATAAGAAATAACATTATTCAAGAGCCCAAAAGATCATGCTTAGACGAAGGCACTTGTACAGCAACTAGTCTTCTATGGTCACAAATTTATATGAGAAACACCGAAGAACTGCTTAGCCTATAAAGGGAGGACATTTCTATGTTCATAAATTGTGTAACCAGTCATTGGCTATTTGGCAGGCTTGCTTCAAGACTAAGAAATAAATTACCACTTCTTCTGTTGCTGCCCAGCTTTAGCTAAGAGTAGAGCGGTCTTCCTAGGCAGGAACTTTTTCAACTCTCTTGCGTAACTATCCGGCGTAGAAAAAAAAAGCAATTCTGCGCTCAACAAGAGCTTCAAAATGGTTCTATGCAGAATAGTCACATTGGACCTTCAAGGTCTAAAGGAACTGAATAACCTAACCTAATGGCCAGCTTTACCACCACTGTCTCAGAAGAAGCAGAGTTTATAAAAAAATTTCCTTAAGACTGGCAATCGGGCTGCTTGGCTAAGGCTGAAGTCCCTGAGAATAATATCAAAACTGGTAAAGTACCAGGGATGAAAAAGTAGGCACAATTGTACCTTTTTCCGACGTTTGATGACTTAAAGGTACATTAGGTACAGACACTAGATTTTAGGTACAATCATCTTTTGACCAGATACATTTTTAGTTTTTTTTTTCTTTTTCCTTTACCGTGGAGGTATATTTACTTTGCTTTCATTTTGAAGAATAAACAATTTTAAAGAAAAGTGGTCAAAAGGAAGAAATTAAAAAAGTCATATTATGTATTATCTTAAACATTTTACATTGCATTTAGAGCAGCCACTACGAAAAACTGACACTTTGCTTAGCTATCCTCAAATTCGTATTTTTTTCTATTAATTTTAACGCTTATTTTCACTAAGTCAAATTCAATGGCATTTGCGGTCAAATGAGTGAAAACATATTGTCAAATGGGACTAAAAGATGGTCTTTTGATTGATTTAGATCAGAATAGGCCTTCATGCGTGTACATCCGCTGCTAAAGCGGCTATTTGTAAGTTTTTGGCCCATAATATCATCGATAAAGGTAGGGATAAATTAAAGAAAGTTGTGTCAAAATATGGCGACAAATTTTGTTGTCAAAATATGACATAACGAAAAGCAGCCTTAATTCACACATACAGTTCAGTGTCAAGGATGTCTTCAAATTTCATATTTTCTTTAGATGAGAACTATAGCTATTTGACCCATATTCGCTTTTTGATTTTTGGAAATATATTTAAAATGCTTTCGAAGTTACTTCCTGCAATTCCTGATTATTTTCTCTAAACTTGCTGCACCTATCGAAAGGAATCGGATAAATAAGCAGACTTTTCCTGTTGTTTTATAAAAAGCTGGATAAAGAAGTATACTTCGCAAAGTGTGTTTTTTGTCTTTTTCGCCAATATTTTTCAGTAGCCAAAATTAGACAAAAACAACGCTTCTCCGATTCCCATTAGATTATATGTAGTCAATAGATATAGGCTCAGTAAAAAAAAAACATCCATCTTTTGTATACATGTTTTAAAAAACATTTATTAAAAACAAAACTACAAATGAATGATGTAACTTTTTTAAGTACAATCTGTCTCATTTAGGTACATTTATTTTGTGATATTAGGTACAATCTCAAATTTCCATTTTTCAACCCTGTAAAGTACCCTTAACGTTCTAGCAACTGGGAATTTTAATATTTCTAGACTGGGTGACAAGGCATGAGAACCATTATGCCAATCAACCGGCGAACCGCACGGCAAATTTATTCATGTTCCCAAGGTCTTTTGTGGGCGGACCAAAGTATACACAAGGACTTAGTCGTGTGCCCTGTCCATCTCAGGAAGCTGCAAGGATAATCCTAAATTAAGGCAGCCAGGTCCCTCAAACTCTCCCTGAGTAATTCAACGGACATTGTTGCCCACGTTACCATGTCAGTACAACGAGAATTTTAGGCACGAGCGCCTGCCGTTTCTGTGAGCAGGACTACTTCGCGGTATAGTACTGATTTTTTTCTATATATGAAACAAAAAGCCCATGGAAGTGCTAGTCTTGTAGATAAAAAGCGTTCACATATGGGGTAAAGGGCCATGTCGTTTAAACCATATTTTTTATATTTATGTGCCAGTATGCAAACAACATTGTTTTGCTTTTGAAATCTCTTTGTGCTATCATTACGGTGACCATTCGTACCGATTTTGGAGGGACAGTACCCTGGACGTATAAGTGTCCCGATTTTTCATATTTGTACCGACTAAGCCCGATTTTTACGGTTTTCTTTTCTAATTTAATTTGTCTTCTTTTGTCAATATTTTTATTTTTGTTCTAACGGCATACAAATTGCTCAAAGAGTTTCGAAGAAAGTGTATAGCAAATTCACATTTTAGAATTAATTTGAAGCAAAAATGGCGAACAAACTACAGACCAAACATTTCGTAGTATATTTTAACTATTTTGGTCGAAATTTATTTTACATTGTATCAAAAAATTAAATGCATACATATGTAATTTTCTCTATTCTCGGTTTTGTGAAGTAGTTTCTTAAATGTGAAGAACGCACAAAATTTTATTGAAAAACAAAATATTTTGAATATGACATAAATTTTTTTTGAAATTAAATTACTCCGCCCTAATGTACATACATAAATTTGGATTATTCCGGTTACGTAGACCCGACTGCCGTGGGAACGCTGTCAAACTGCTACTCTCGCTATATTAAGGTCTCATCATGCATACTTCGCATAACTTCGCACAACCACTGGTACTACTCTAGTTGAAATTTAATGCAATTATAAAAAATAATATTAATTTCCTCAAAAAATTCATGGATATGAAAAATATAAGCTTAAAATATATTGTACAGGGTGGGCCAAATAAGACCTACCACAGGCAACCTATGGGCCTGCTGCGTGAAAATGGTAGGTCTTATTTCGCCCACCCTATATATGTACATTCTTGCGATAATTTCTATAGTTTTTTCTCTTCGCTTTATTTCAAATACAACTGTGATAAAAACAAAATTGTATTTTCGGATTCAATGCTTTAGAAATGTCCCGCTTTTTGTCCACAGAAATCTGGTCACTGTAACTATCATGGATTAATTCAACCCTAGAAGGTCATGAGCTTTGTTACATATTTACGTACAAGTATAAAATAAAAGACGCATAAACTATTTTAAACTATAATAAAATGCATCGATGAGTTTATTGCGTTTTATTTAAATATGTACATTTTCTAAGAAAGTAGTATACATTTTGACTAGCTCTTTCACTGCCCTTGGTAGTTTTTCTAAAACAAAAGCACAAATACAATATCACTTTACCGGCACTAGAATCTTTTTATGGTACATTCATAGGTATTTATGTATGTATTATACACACTTCTTTACACATAAATACATAGCAAAATGTTTTCATTCGAAATTCGCAGTTATTGATTTTGGTCAAATCCTATATTACCAGCACATTCTGGATGTGATGGTTTAAATATGCATGTACATTAGGGCGGGTCAATTTGTATGGAACGATTTTTTCGACAAAACCTATTTTCGCGATTTGGTAAACTCCAAATTGATTTTAGACCCATAGTTTTTTCAGCAAAATTGCTCAGAATTACACTTAGAATCCTACTATATGCGCATAGTCAAAAAAATTTACCCACCCTAATGTACCTACATATTTGTAATTTTTACATGAACATATTTGTATTTTTTAAATACGAAGGAGCCGCGCATTTTTGTATTGCATGAATATACAACCAAATTTCAAAGAAATATACATATATATGTGCTTCAGTTACTCGCATTCCATGGCGTATGAGTTACCTACGAACATCAGTATTTAGTTTGATCGAAATAGAAACTTTAAGAGCCGTTTTCTCGAGGGCCTATTAAATTTATATTTCTTTTAAAACTATCTACTGCTTTATCCATCACATGCATATAACGGCCCTAAGTCGCCGAACTTTTCTCTTTATTAACGTATTGTTACGCTTTTAAGGAAAAATATCGTTGGGATATGCCAAATAGTTAGTCATTTGATTTTAAACGCTTTCAATTCCA